AAAATTAGCCAGGCATGGTGGTGCGCACCTGTAATCCCAGCTACTTGGGAGACAGAGGCAGGAGAATCGCTTGAACGCAGGAGGCAGAGGTTGCAGTGGGCAGAGGTTGCAGGGAGCCGAGATTGTGCCACCGCACTCCAGCCTGGGCGACAAAGCAAAACCCCCTTTTTTAAAAAAAAAAAAAAAAAAAAAGATTTTAGAAATGGTGGTTAATTTAGCAGGCTACCCTCAAAAGTACATTTAACCTACAGAAGAGATGAATATCATGTATCTTCAGAAAATCTTACTGCTGTGGCAAGAAGATGTAGCCAAAGTTGAAAGACAAATACCATAAGTCTGACTCACATGTAGGAGCTAAGTGAGTTAAATCTCATGGAGGCCAAGAGTAGAACGAGGACTACCAGAGGCTGGGAAGGGCATGTGTGGTCAGGGGGAATGAGGAGAGGTTGGTTAGTTGGTACAAACATAGTTAGAAGAAACAAGTTCTAGTGTTGGATAGCACAGTACGGTGACTATAGTTTGCAATAACTTACTGTGTATTTCAAAATAGGAAGATTTGGAATGCTCAACACAGAGAAATGACGACTATTTGAGGTGATGGATACCCCAACTGCCCTAATTTGGCTGTCACACATTATATGCATTTATCAAACTATCACATGTACTCCATAAATATGTAACAATAAAAAAAGCTTAAAATTGTATGTAAACATAAAACATATGTACACAACACACATCTGTACATATACATATACATGTGCACATGTCCTGTTTCTATAAACATAAAAGCTTCTTTTTAAAATATTTTTCTAAATTTCTCAAGCGTGTAAATGTGGATTTTGTGCATGACATTTTTACAACAAAATTAACAAAACAAAATTTCAAACTTTTATTTTCAAAAGCCTCTTTTTATTACGAATTTGTTTTGAAAAGCATTTACTTTTCCACTTAAAATTTCACCTTTACTTTTAAATGACGGGTTAAGTACTATTACCCCACAATCTGGCTAGGTCATAGCCACCAACTGAAAACAGGGTAGCAAACTTATTATTTTGTAAAACAATACAGTATGTTTACCTTTTTGTAAATAAGCAAACAAACAAAAGCTCAAGTCACCTTTTCTATTTTTCAGCTCTTACCGTGCTGCAGAAGATTTTTAGCTTCATTCTAACTTGTTACCATTCAGATATCTGAATGGGAAAGCCGTTTACCAGGCTGCCTGAAGTGCAATACTTTGAAATACAAACAATAAAGACAAATGAGTACTCAACTCGCTCGTCTCACTTCTTGTACCACACAAGACGCCTGACCATCTGTCAAAAGGACGGATTGCGGGCATGTCAATTTATATTTTACACATTTGTGAAGCCTCACCTCTTGGTTTTTAAGATAAATAATAAATATGACACTTTATTTTCATGCCACAAAGGATTATCTCACACTCTCTGACCACCCCACATTAGGTCCTTCTGTGTATGCAAAGATGAAGGAAACACAGTTCCTTTCAGAAGCCCTGAATTTAAAAGGGACTGATAAAAATAAACAGTCAGTCTATTTGGAATATTTCCTTCCTAAGGATTCTTTCTCCAGATTTTTTTGGTTTTGTTTTAACATTATCATGCCAAGTCGAACAATAAAGGGCCTGACGAGCTCCAAATTTCCAGACAACTCCAGAAAAGGCTATCAAGGATGCAGATCAATTTATAGGGAACTATCACTCATCTCTACAAATCTTTAACCAGAGGATTTAATATATTTTCACCAGATCAAAGCTTCACTTACTTTGATGTTTTTTCTTTTGAGGTATCCTTATTATATCTTGACACTGCTTTTCTACTATTAATACATTTCCTTTTCTTAGGAGTTTTTCTCCTGCTTCCCTGCCTATCAACATTACAGCTCCAAATCCCTATTTTAGCAGCCAGCTATGGCTGCAAAGGCTCTGTCACAGCCAAAAGCTATAATCCTCCTGCCAAGCTAGCTCCTCACTGGGCAGAGTAATGAATGTGAGTGAAGATACAAATTTGTTTGCCTGGCACTTCCCTAACCAATCAAATCAATACTAACCTGAGGGTGTGAAATCCTGGAAGGATTTCTAAACCTAAGGTATATTAACTACAGAAATATAAACTTCTGTTGGCCAAAATACAACCATAAACAAAGTCAAAAACGGCCAACCTAACACTGGAAACAAATATGCCAAAAAATTTTCAATAATGATGTCAAGGGGTTGTTGTTTGTTCACTAGTAGTTTAAAAACAACAGCAACAAGACTTAAAAACAGCGATTTCTTATTTATAAACTTACCACATGTTCTGTTTCCCTTTTTAAGACAACCCTGACTGAGTTCCCAGCATGCCCACAGCCACCTTCAGAGGGGTCCTCTACACTGTACTCACTGTGCCTGGCTCCTCAAGACCCTACCATCTCAGGAACATCTCATCTAACCGGAGACAATGACTAACCCAGAAGTGGCCCAGCCCAGCCCCTTTGCTCTGCAGTTCCACTCAGGAGCACTCTATCCTAGATGGAACTCCAGACTTTGTCTTGCACAGTGTAAAGGCAAGATCCACAAAGAAGGGTTGAAACGTTTTCTGTCATAGAGTGATAAATTCTGAACAGGGAACCTACATGTTACAATTAGCTCCACCAAAGTAATCTATGAAACATTAGAGGAAAGCAAAGTTGCAAGCTATGTGCCAAAAGTTTGCTTGTGTAGTTTATTTTACATACAAAATGCTTGGCATTTATTTTACACAAAAAAAGATTTTAGAAATAGGTAGCCCTCCAAAGTACATTTAACCTATAGAAGAGATGAGTATCATGTATCTTCAGACAATCTTCCTGCTGAGGCAAGATGTAACCAAAGTTGAAAGACAAATACTATATGTCTCACCCACATGTAGGAGCTACGTGAGTTGATCTCATGGAGGCCAAGAGTAGAACAAGGGCCACCAGAGGCTGGGAAGGGCCATCTCTCCAGGCTTCCTTTAACATTTTATGAATCTCAAGAATTCTGGTTGAATCCCTTTTTTTATAAAGCTGTCACGATTTATTTTAATCCCTGAGGTTCCTCTCCCCAGTGACTGGCCAAATAATAGGACGAAATGTCCCAGTTAAAACACCCACTTTTCCATACTCTTTTCTTTCTTGGAGCCATACACAGACTTTTCTTTTTCTTTTTTTGGACAGAGTTGCCCAGGCTGGAGTACAGTGGCACAATCTCGGCTTACCGCAACCTGTGCTGCTCAGGTTCAAGCAAGTTTCCTGCCTCAGCCTTCCTAGTAGCTGGGATTACAGGCACCTGCTGCTATGCCTGGCCAAGATGGTGAAACCCGATCTCTATGAAAACTTTCTTCATTTTTAAAAAATTTTTTTATTTTTAAAGGATTTTGCTGTAAGCACAAGAAACACCAAGAGAAGTTGGGAGAAAGAAAAACACAGATACATCTGGGTAAGCTTAAGAAACCAAATTTTAATAGAATCTCTAACCTATGTTTCATGCTTTCAGGGATGATAACAAAATTTAAAGTTTTCTCAGAAACTTTTTTTTTTTGGAGACAAATTCTAACTCATTGTCGCCCAGGCTGGAGTGCAGTGGCATAATCTCAGCTCAGGGCAATTTCCACCTCCCAGATTCAAGGGATTCTCCTGCCTTAGCTTCCCAAGTAGCTGGGATTACAAGCATGTCCAATCATACCCGATTAATTTTTGTATTTTTAATAGAGACAGGATTTCACCATGTTGGCCAGACTGGTCTGGTACTCCTGACCTCGAGTGATCCACCCACCTAGGCCTCCCAATCAGAAACATTTAATTCAACTACTTTCGAGAGCATAAAGAAGAAACCAAAACAAAGATCTTGATCACTGCTGTTAATGATAGACCCTAAACATAAAAAAGAAAATTATTACATCTTGAGGTGTGATTTCAACTAGTACCACCACTTTTGGTCTAGTCTTTGTAAATTCCAGATTATCAAACTATACTCCAAAAAATAATTTTGAAAGGGTCCAGTAAGGCATGCCAGAGATAAGGAGCAAACTAGAAGTGGGGAAGAAAAAACTTAAAGAGCTCCAAAACAACCCTTTTTTTCAAGTCTAGGGGCAAGTAACTATTACACTGACGGTGGGGTAGGGGTGGAAGAAACATCCACTGGCCACTCCCCATGGAACAGGGTAGCCAGCTTTCTTACCATCACACACATGGGGGTCCTACTCTGGAGGAGTTCTAAGCTGGCTCTGGAAAAATTGCAGCTTTCAGGCCCCTTGCAGATGAATCCACTGGGTGCCAGATAAAATGTGACTCTTCTAACAATAAATCTCTTCTATCATATTTACAAATAAATGAAATTCACAACTCGTATGTAAATACTGCTATTCCAAAGCATGTTTCCAATGATCCAAATGAAGAACCTGATGGTACATGTATGTAATCCGTGTAGTATGCAACCCATCTTCCAACAACACTGACATGCCACAGCCTTCTGCTAGATGTTTATATGAGAAAGGATATGACGTTAATTAGGAGGAAAATGCCGAGATTCAAATTTTATAAAGCACTCGAATGATGTGCCTTCATTTTTCAAAAAATTGTTTAGAAAATTAATATTGAGGTCCTGACTCCAATAAGATGATTTTACAACTGACTAAATGGATCATGAATGAATAGAAATAGCTTTGGAGCATTATTTTCCAACCTTAAGTGCCATAAAACATAAACCTTTGCCAAAGCAGTTGGCCACTTAAAAAAAAAATCCTTTTTTTCCTGAGCAGTTTTAGGTTTACAGCAAAATTAAGTGGAAGGTACAGGAGATCTCTCATCTACCCACTCCTTCCACAGATGCACAACCTCCTTGAGTTGGTCAATTTTTTAAAAGTAAAAAACATGTTCTTTCTGAAGAGAACTGAAGACATCTTGATTTCAAAAATCTAACAGCAAATGTAAAGAACCATTGTTGTGTGCATTTTCATGCATACAATAGGAAAACAAATACTTACCATGTAGCATCCAATAAGGAAGGCAGCATTTGCTTGCTTTCTCTGATCAGAGCTGGTAAAATGAACAATTTTCTTCCTTAACATTGTAATGGACTGCATAAAAATAAACAGCTATTAGTATTTTCTTTTTAATTTCAAGTCTTCTACAATTTCATTTTGTAATGAAGATGAATTTCAAATCCCACAATGTATAACCATTCATATTATTAGCAAGACCTTTGAAAAGGTTAACGTTGATACCCAAAAATACCACGTCTTCCCATAAAAAGACACATTCTGGGGTGAGAATGGACATACAATTAGAGGAGAGGGGAGGGCACATGAATGGGTATACGCTTAAAGCACAGGCTGCCTCTGAAAGAGGAAAGCAAGCATGGTGAAAGAGGTCACCTTTCCTTCCGTTTGGTTTTTAAAGAAATCTGTCCCCAAAACCTTTAAATTAAAATAAAAAGGTATACGGAATTGTCTGCACTATCATAAGCTAGGGCAGTGAATAACCAGGGGAGGAGTGTGCAGAGCCGGGAACTGGAAGACAGCACGGAAGGCTGCTGTGGGTTCTGCCAGTGCACTGCTCCTGACCTGGTGAAAAGATAATCATCTACGTATATTCCACTTGTGAAAGTTCACAGAGCTCCAGATCCATGATGTGCACATATTTCTATATATATGTTAAAAAGGGGATGTGTATGTATGGGGATGTTAAAAAGTTAAATATAAAATGGGTACAGAATTAAAACAAAACAAAACCATGATTAGTTAGCACATCCCCAGCTGTATTTCATTAACGTGAGTAGACGTAGATCAGGATAAGGAACAGGATATAATCAGCTCAATAAGCATGTATTTCTTGGCTTCTGTAAGTCAGTGTTTCAACATTTCAGTGTTTCAACGTTTCAGTGTTTCAATGACGAAGGTGTACGTATTTTCCTTTAGTTGTTTGCATGGAGATAGAGATCCAAGTTGATTTAAAAAACGACGACAAAAACAAAAACAAAAACGAAAACACACCAGCCACTGGGCAGCACAAGCACAAGACACTCTCCATCTAAACTCTTGATATATCTTTATCACTATTAATTGAATATGCAGTAATATGTCAATCAGCTTGGATAGTCAATCAGGTTGGTAGCATGCTACCAACATGCTACAAGTTGTTCTGGTAAATGATTTAAAGAGAAAAAAAAAAAGAACTGATACATTTTTAGTTGACCCAAAGACTAAAAGTCCACAGATGGCTGAGTACAGGGGAAAAAAAATTTTTTTCCAAAATTAAAGCAAAGGAACAAATGTTGGGGGAAGAGAGAATTATTTTTAGCTTCCTAGCCTGCACGAAACAAAAGATCTGCCACTGGCAACTGGAAAAAGGAGGGAGAACCCAAATGCACAAGGCCATAAATAGTTATATTCCTATTTAAGAAAGGCAAAAAAGAAGAGTCTCCTGCTCTGTAGCAATATGTAGTGAATATAGCCTTGATGCTCCAGGAAAAACAATTGCCTTACCCATAAATGCTTAATTAAAGCATGTTAAAATTCCAATTAAAAGTAAATTGTATTTCCTATCTGTAGTAGTCTGATAAGCAAAGATTTTTTTTTTTTTAAGTGCCCTTCCTAAAAAGCAGTATTTTCTAGTTGAGAATTTATAGTGCCTGATTTAGAACTGCTGGTAAGTAGTATGTAAACACTTCCTACCATGCATGACCAACAATTCAGTGTTTTACATACATGAATGGGGTCTAAGTTCAAACCAATACAAATATACCTGTGTAACTCTCAGTGATACAGCCTTAAGGACGTGCTTTTTGCCCTAGATTCTCATGTCCCTTAATCATATGTATAAAGGATCATGTAGCACAATATCATGGGAATTTCAAAACAGGAGAGAAAGTACGATAAGCCCATCTTCCTTGTTAGTTTGCTAGCACTCCTCACCAAAATGAAGCCCAAAAGAACAATGGCCAAAGCAAGCGAAGAATTTCTCTTGTTAGGTTTCAGTTCTATTAGGTCAGACAATATGGGGTTCACTTAATTAACTGATTCCCACTTTGGCTTTTCAAGTATTTAAGCATCACTAATTCAAACTAGAGCCAAATGACCCAAACTTGAACTGTTCTTTCAAAACTCTATAAAACAAATAGATACACTATGATCTTATAAAACAAAAAAACCATGTGCATGTCCCAAACACCACTGCATGAAAAACATGGCATTTCCTTTTTAAAAATAGAGATGTTTTCCTTACTTTTGTCCCCCAGATCAAGCGAATAATGATTATTTAAGTCAAATCTTAAAAACTTTACCTTCAATTTCTTATTTATCTTGCAACAATATCTGTAAACCATTGCCAGATTGAGTGGTCCAAAATCTGCGTAGAAGCTTTAAAAATGAAAGATAAAAATGTGTATGTACATTCTAGATGCTCTGAATATAAATGCCTTTTTTGGGTCAACAAGATCAAATTAAGATGAGTAAGCACATACTAAATTGTTAGGGGCCAATACAACTTCAAGGTACTGTTTTACTAGTGGAAGACTATTCTGGTAAATAACGCCTATTTTTAAATGCCACGAGTGTTATAATGCCTAAATCTAACATCAATGAACATCAACATACTTTCTAAATTTAAAAAGCTGTTTTTCCAAACATATCTCCAAGAGCAAAACCACAATATCTTACTTAGCACACATTTATATTTCATTGTAGTATAAACATTAGACAAGCAAATCTAAATGTTTAAGTTTAGGGAGGTTCTCTTTTTTCCTCTAAAGGTTTATTTTACTACCACAGGTGAAAAACAAGCATCCTAAGCATCCTGTAATCAGCAATCAATAAATTTATAATTTCCCCAGACTGTCCCATTTATAACCATACCTTTAGATTCTTTAAAAAAAAAAAAAAAAGTTACACTCTTTTAAAAAGCAATACTTACTTCTCATATTCAAGTTCATTATCTATGCTGAAATAATGTACATTTGATGCACTCTTTGGTCTGCTGTAGAGAATGGCAAAACAAAGGCGATCTGAAATGGAAAAATTGCAATGTTCCTTCCTGTAGGTTATAAAAAACGTTTTCTATATCATGACACAACTCTTTTCAGATGAAGTCAATTTTTCATTTTTTTCCATGCATGTTTTAGATGGTAGGGGTGGTAATGGGTAATTACAAAATATTCTGGCTATTTGGGTGGGTAATAATGAGCATATTTTTAAAAGAGAAACTGCCTTTAACCTAAGTTTCAAAAGTGGTGGCTTTTCGTGTAGTGATGTATTTCTAAACGAACCTATTTCCATGAAAGTTTAGCTCCCTTGGATTAAGACATTTCAGCAAACTATAGCATGCATGTGATGGCTGGCATCAACCTTGTAAGTTTCTAGATGAATTTCACTACGTTTTTCAAGGCATCCTAAAAAGTCAATTTGGTAAGAAACTATTTTTTTCTTAAAGAGAAAGAATGCTTTCAAAATTGCTTCAAAATTACTACTTACAGCTATAGAACAAACCATATGTTTCTCCAACTGTTCTTTGGGATCACTACTGTCTAACTTGGAATCACTACTTCAGTATTTTCACAATTAGACAAATTACCATTAAAACAGAATCAGTGAGGTCTCTGCATGATGAGTCTGAGATGAACCTGTGTTGCATAAACGCAGTTAGGCTGCTGTGAGGTTTAGCAAGAATGGTAATGAGTGGTTAAGAGTCAGGAGGCCCCACCCTTCTTCCTTGTCTAAAAATCCTCGGGTGAAATCAAGTCATCCACAATACCTAATAATAATATCAGTGGTGCTAGGAAAATACCTACACTCACAACGTGGCAAAATCAAGTACAGCCTTTAAAATATATATACTTTCAGCAGAGCCAGCTGGCACCCTCTCTCCAAATGGTCAACTTTTTTCTATCTGCAATTCAACTCATGCAACTGCTTAGTTTATTTCCTTGTAAACTCCTCAGCTAAAATTTCTTGCAACCACAAACACTCAAATGGGTGACAGGGCTTAATCCTTTCCAACCACAAGGACCTTTGATCCCTGCGACAGCGTCCAAGGATCTCGCTCCCGCGGGCGGAGAGATGCAGCTCACGTACGTAGGTTCAGATGCAGGCACACAAGGGTCACAGCCGCCCATGAGCGCGGAAGCCCAGGGCCCCGGGACGAGCGCCGAGGCCACCCACGCAGAGACCAGTCGCGGCCCGGGCCCTGACGGCGGGTGCCTCCCGGCGAATGCAGCCCGCCCCATCCCTGTGCGGGTGCTGGAGCTCCCCCCACGCCCGCCCCCAAGCACCCGCCCCTGCGGCTCACCTTTGATCACCTCCGCCACTAGAGCTGCCCCCGCGCCCTCCCGGCTCATGACTCCAAAGCATCTGGAAGGCGGGGCAGAGGCAAGGACGGCCAGCCGCCTAGAGGGGAGGCGCTGCGACCACACCCCCGAAGTTTAAAAAACAAAGTTTAAAGGGCCGCGCCGGGCAGCGGGCGCAGCGACACCCCTCGGTGGCCCACCGGCCCGGCGCAACAGCTCAACCCCGGAAGTCCCCAACTTCTGGAAACAGCCCCATGGGCGACGAGGGCGCGGGAAGGAACAGCGCCCTCGCCCCACCACCCGCCTTCCTTCCTCAGCGGGTGATGCGGGCGGCCCGTGCGCGCCAGGCCTCCTCCAGTGCCCAAACGCCCCGCAGAGGGGACGTGCGTCAGAGGCCAGCAGGCCTGCCGAGGGCAGCGTCTGGGAAAGCTCCTTAGCGATTAAAGGACTTCGAGCAGGAGAAGGGCTCGCCCCGGGCCGGGGACAGACCCGAGGGTGACGCCAGATGGGGCGGGAGCCTCCTGGCGCCTCCCTCGCCGCACTCCCGCTGCCGCCGCTAGGGGGTGCTGCAACCGTGCCAGGCCAGGCCCCCGGCGGGCGCCCTCCCAGAGCCCGGTCCACCGCACCCTCGCTCAGCCAAGATCCGCCAAGTGCTCCCGCTGGGTCACGTCTGATGGAAAACGGGCATCTTCAAAATCGTGCAAGATTTCCTGAGATAGCTGGCTCAGAGAAAAAGCTTTTATTTTAATTGTGCAAGATTTAAACGCAAGCCTCTGGTCATGCGATCCTTTAAAGGGACGGTTTGGAATGGTTTAAAAACAAAAATGTCGACACCCTTTTTAAGCAACCCTTTAAAATTATTGTAGAGATAGACAGCAGAAGGATGGTTATCTGAGGCTGGGAAAGGTAGTGTGGGAGTAATGGGCACAAAAAAATAATAAAAATGAGTAAAACCTAGCATTTCACAGCACAACAGGGAGTGGGTGACTACAGTCCACAATAACTTAGTTGTACCTTTAAAAATAACTAAGAGTACAATCGGAGTGTTTATAACACAAAAGATAAATGCTTGAGAGGATGGATACCCCATTTTCCACGATGTGATTATTGTGCACTGCACTGCATGCCTGTATCAAAACATCTCACGCACCCCATATACACCTGTACCCACAAAAATTAAATATTAAATAAATTAAAATATATTCTAAACCTATATTTGTATTTTAATCTCAAGTGAAAAAAAAATGAATTCAGCATGAGCATGATCCCAATTGTTACAAATAATAAGGTGCTGGGACCAGGGTTCACTTTCATTCCCTCCTATATTTTCCCAAGTTTTCTATAGAAAATTGTTACTTAATACATATTTTTGCCTCAAAAGCAAACCTGCATACCTCCTAATCTTATTGTACAATTCCAGATGGATCAAAGACTTTTAAAAATATGTATTTAAAACCATAAATTCTTTTTTATACTCTCCAACTGAGGAAGACCTTGCTAAATGATACAAAATCTAAAAGCCATAAACGTATTTTTAAGCAGTTTTCATGGCAAAACACACATAAACCAAATCAAGAGACAAACTGGACAAATATTTTAAATTTGTCTTGAGAAGATACCTAACTTCAATTTTAGGTTATCATAAAAGTAACAGAGGCCGGGTGCAGTGGCTCAAGCCTGTAATCCCAGCACTTTGGGAGGCCGAGGCGGGTGGATCACAAGGTCAAGAGATCGAGACCATCCTGGTCAACATGGTGAAACCCCGTCTCTACTAAAAATACAAAAAATGAGCTGGGCATGGTGGCGCGTGCCTGTAATCCCAGCGACTCAGGAGGCTGAGGTAGGAGAATTGCCTGAACCCAGGAGGCGGAGGTTGCGGTGAGCCGAGATCGCGCCATTGCACTCCAGCCTGGGTAACATGAGTGAAACTCCGTCTCAAAAAAAAAAAAAAAAAAAAAAAAGTAACAGAAATGGAAAGTTCCACTATAAGGTACTATTTTTTCCTCAGACTGGCAAAACTCAAGAGAGTTGGATAAGGTGCTGCTGTGTGGCGGGAGGTTGAGGGCACTCACATATATCGCCTGTGGAGAATATAAACTGGGACCATCTCCATGGAGGCAACAAATGGGAAGTTTGGCAGAAATAAGACTGAAAACTAGCAGGGCGCGGTGGCTCATGCCTGTAATCACAGCACTTTAGGGGGCCGAGGCGGGCGGATTACCTAAAGTCAGGAGTTCGAGACCAGCCTGGCCAACATGGTGAAACCCCACTTCTACCAAAAACACAAAAAAATTATCTGGGTATGGTCGTGCATGCCTCTAATCCCAGCTACTTGGGAGGCTGAGGCAGGAGACTCGCTTGAACCCAGGAGGTGGAAGTTGCAGTGAGACAAGATCATGCCATCGCACTCGAGCCTGGGCAACAAGAGCAAAATCCCGTCTCCAAAGAAAAAAAAGAAAAGAAAGGAAAACTGAAAACTAAAGACAGCCAAGAAGGACTGTTAAGTACTACCACTACTATGCGTGAGTTTAAGTTCTATATACACATGTAACATCACTGTAGATGAAATCACAGGTAGCAAATCTCTGGAAGCAGCCACAACAAACTGGTATCAATGCCTTGATAGTGGGTATCTAGAATAGGAAGAGTGAGAGAGATTTATGCCTTTTCACAGCTTTTGCATTGTACCACATATTACCTATTCAAAACTACACCGCTTTTAAAAAGTCAACTTGCAGGCTAACAGTATTTTTCCAAAGCTGACTCTTGATCAAGATAGGAAGCATGTAACAAGGACGGTATGAGGCAACCTGGAAAATATCCTGTAACTTGTTTTGGTTTCTAACCATCTCTTGAAATTCCAGTTTCTTCCCGCCCCCTCCCCACAAAAAACAGTTTAAACTAGAAAAGTAGCTAGATAGAAATGGGAAGAAATTTTCCCTTCCAGCCCCAACCTTAAGTTCGGTTCCCTAAGGAGTATTTCATATATTACAGGCAGGGAAAATCACTGATGCCAGTATTTTATTGTTAGAGTAACACAGCAATAAAGTACCCAGAGACTATGATGCTGGGTTGAGGGCCGTTTGTTAGGAACCTGGAACCAGAAACAGGGCTCTTTTTTTTTTTTTTTTTTTTTGAGACGAACTCCTGTTTTGTCACCCAGGCTGGAGTACAGTGGTGCAATTTCATCTTACTGCAACCTCCACGTCCCAGGCTCAAGCAATTCTCCCGCCTCAACCTCCCAAGTAGCTGGGACTACAGTCACACGCCACCATGTCCAGCTAATTTTTAGTAGAGATGGGGTTTCACCATGTTGGCCAGGTTGGTGTCGAATTCCTAACCTCAAGTGATTTGCCGCCTCGGCCTCTCAAAGTGCTGGGATTACAGGCATGAGCTACCATGCCCAGCTGAAACAGGGCTCTTTACAAAGTTTTGCTTAAAGGTTGACGATTAACTGTATAATCCTGTTATAAATCCATGTATCCCTCCATTGATGTTTCTGTTGTCAGAAACAGAAAGTGGCAGTCATCTTTTTGCCTGTCCCTGTCACACCACATCATCATTTCTGCTTCTTTGACTAATATGATACAGGAGAAGGAAACAAAATCTCATGATTTAAAAATGTTAATAAAAATATTCAAAATCTATCCTTGGGCCTAATTTGTCTCTAGGTATGGTTTAACTTGGCCCTCCAGGTTGATTATCTCTTCCTTTAGCAAATG